CACACACACACACAGACAAATACACACACACACACAGACAAATACACACACACACAAATACACACACAGACGCACACACAGACACACAAACAAACAAACAAATACACACACATAGACATAGGCACATAGTGCAAGATCACAGGATCATTTCACACCACAGTGTGAGGATCCCATTCTCCTTTTCTTAGAATATTATAAAAAGGAATCACTAGCAAGGCTGGAATTTCTTGCCCATCCCTAACCACTCTTGATAGCAATTGAGAGTCAATACCTTTGCTGGGTCTGGGGTCACATGTAGGCAAGACGAGGTAAAGATGGCAGAATTCCTTCCCTAAGAAGGCCTCAGTTCTTTACCAAGTGACAGTAAGACTGGTTATAAATTTAAAGACACAAACAAACTGGGAATTGCAATGACTGGTTAGCTGCTAAATGTGATATTCTTCAGTCATCCCTGAGCTACACACAAAGGCTGGGGGTGATTTGGAACTGTCCATTTGTTTTTTTTAGGATTGAATCCCATCTAATTTTATTTTTCTTACTTATTTCATTTTTCCTCAGAAACGTTAGCACTTCTGCTAAAATGTGGGAGCAGTAACCTTACCCAAATACACATTTTTCTTCTTGTGTGTTTTTCTATGTGAAAGGTGCTATATAAATATAAGGATTTACCAAATTTATATTCTTACGCATGCTGAAAATTATTTCATAGTTGCAAATTAGGTTGTGTTGTGTGCATTACTTTGCTGAATAAACAATCTGTGTGTTGACTACAGAGCGTGTACAACATTCAGTGGACAACCTGTTGTTTCATGTGGCTTTTGCAGATTGTAAACTTTCCAGGAATCTTATGAATGTACTGAAGGAGAGTGCACTAGGTCCAATAACAGGATAATGCATCAAGGAACTCATCAGAGACAGCATATTGGAACAGTGAATGTGTACAATACATATTTAATAGGATGATACCAGGGAAAAGTGATGACAGGCATAAAGAGAGATTTGTAAAACTGGGGATTTTGTCATTGGACCAGGCTGAGCAGGGGATCAAGATATGTTTCTAATCAGCCTGTTTGAAGATGTTATCACACACCTCTGCAGCAGGTAGGAGTGGAAGCCAGGCCTCCTGGTCCAGAGGTAGGGACATACCATTACACCATATTACCCCCTTAGATACAGGATTTCCAATAGAAATGCTCTCAATAGTGAAAAGCTAAGTTGTGAATTAATTACAATCGCACATAAATTGAAGATTGGCACCTTTTATACCAGAGGTTAAATGCTGGTTAGACAGGGTCTAGGCATAAACATTTCCATTGAGCATTTCCTGTGTCCTTACAAACTCCAACAACACCGATTCCTGGCTCCATATACTTATACACCCATTTCTCACCTAATTAAGATATTTTCTAACCAACCAGTTCAGAGATGTTATTACACACCTCTGGAGCAGGTGGGACTTGATCCAGGCCTCCTAGCTCAGAGGTAGGGGCATTACCAGTGCACCACAAGAGCCTCTTACCCAGTGAATGCTTAATGAGTCCACAACCATCACATGTTCCCTGGCTCCACTGGTTTTCAGCATCATTGTCCAAACTGGTAGTGTTTCTACCTCTGAGCCAGGAGGCCTGGGTTCAAGTCCCACCTGCTCCAGCGGTGTGTAATAATATCTCTGAACAGGTTGGTTAGAATATAGAACATAGAACAGTGCAGCATGGTGCAGGCCCTCCGGCCCACGATGTTGTGCCAACCTATTATCCTACTCTAAGATCAAACTACCCTGCCTACCCTACGTTATACTTTTATCCATTTGGCTATCCAAGAGTTGCTTAAACGTCCCTAATGTATCTGACTCCACTACCACTGCCGGCAGTGCATTCCACACACCCACCACTCTCTGTGTGAAGAACCTACTTCTGACATCTCCCCTATACCTTCCTCCAATCACCGTAAAATTATGCCCCCTCGTAATAGTCACTTCCGCCCTGGGAGAAAGTCTCTGGCTATCCATTCTGACAAAATATATTAACTGAGATGATGACAACATGGTAGACAAAGCGACAGGTTAGAAGGAATATTTCAAGCCAATTATTTGGCTGCATATATCATGACTGCTGAAAAAAACATCGAGAAGAGAGTGCTATCAGCAGTTGAAGGAAATATTCACATGTAGGGGAATGTGAATGAGTGAAGATGGCTTGAAGCTGAATAGCCTTCTCCCAAACTGAACATTCTACAGCGTTATAAACTCAGAATCCTGCAGCACAGCAAGAGGCTATTTGGCCCTTCCTGCTTTGTGCTATCTCTTTGAAAGAACTTTCCAATAAGTCACACCGTCATGCAAATCTTCCCGTTTCATGTTCATATCTAATTCCTTTCAAAAGTCAGAAGTCACACGACACCAGGTTACAGTCCAACAGGTTTATTTGAAAACGCAAGCTTTCGGAGCACTGCTCCTTCATTAGGTGGAAAGCTTGTGATTTCAAATAAACCTGTTGGACTATAACCTGGTGCCGTGCGACTTCTGACTTTGTCCACCCGAGTCCAACACCGGCACCTCCACACCGTGGCTACCTTTTGAAAGTTAGCAGCAAATTTGACTCCACCATCATTCCAGATCACAATTCACTGCTTAAAGAAAAAAAAAACAAACATTTCCTTCAATTCCCTTCTGCTTCTGGTTTGCACTAAACCCTTGTTCGAAGGGAAAAAGTTTAAAAAGAATCAGAATTGCTGCTTGTCCTGTTCAGTCTTAATCAATTTGGGAGATAGTTGAGGTAGGTACAGTCAATGAAGAGAGATAACAAGGTGCAGAGCTGGATGAACACAACAGGCCAAGCAGCATCAGAGGAACAGGAAAGCTGATGCTGCTTTGCCTGCTGTGTTCATCCAGCTCTACACCTTGTTATCTCAGATTCTCCAGCATCGGCAGTTCCTACTATCTCTACAGTCAATGAAATTTGTTTTACTAACAATAAATTGAGAGGAGAGCAGTTACAGTTGCTGTACTCTGTAAACCCTTGTCCTAAGTGGACCATGATATTTCTATCTGAATTTTAGACCAAAGACAGATTAAAATGGGCATATAATGGGCGTACTCACTGTTTTCACTGTTGGTGTATCTGGAGGAAACTGTTGCGTTGGGTTAGTCCTGTGATTTGATTCAGGGACATGCAGTAGGGTTCCTCACCACCAACTGACGAAGATCCACTCGTTGTTCAGTTCGAAGGATACTGGCTGCTGGCACAGAGGCAGATGAGATACGGAGCAGATTAATTTCCTAACTTTTATTCTCAAATATACCGAAAGCATGACTAAATGCTTTGGCAACCTAAAAATAGAAATGGCAAGTTTCGCTTTGTTGGGTGGAAGGCTATTATTGCACACAGGATGCAGTCTTGGAAAGTGGTGGGAGTCACAGATTTTTTTTGGCGGGGAGGGAAATCTGTATAATCTATTGCTGAAATAAAGCCAGCAGAGAATGAAATAATTTGTGATAAACTCACAGCTTCACATACAGGAGATCCACTTCCTAAACTGATCAGTAAAACACATTCAATGAATTGGCTACTTTCACTGCATATAGCTAGGGTTAAGCTGCATTGTCCTAACACTGTCTCCTCAGAAATGAAACTTAGCCAACAAAAAGAATACACATTATGCACACAGCTACTTTAAACAAAAACTGTTTAACTAGCCTTCCACAATGGGCTTGGCCATGTTAACAAATTAAAGTGACTTCTTTGACTCTATTCCTCCATCATTTACAATCATAACAGAATGAAAAATACTCCTAGAGAGAAACATGCCATGGGTTCCACCATTTTTAAGTTAAAGTTTTTCTCTCCAGGTTATAAAGTCAAATCCCATTCCCCTGAGTACCCTTTCTGTAAAAAAATCATTCATAGGATGTAGGCATCCCTAGAAAGGTGAACATTTATTGCCCATTCCTAATTGCCCACATGACCATTAAGAGTCAACCACATTGCTGTGGGTCTGGAGTTACATGTAGCCCAGACCAGGTAAGGATGGCAGTTTCCTTCCCTGAAGGGCATTAGTGAACCAGATGGGTTTTTCCTGACAACAGATTCTTAATTCCAGGTTTTCTTAAAATTGAAGTCAAATTCTACCCATGATGGGATTTGAATGAGATCCTCAGAACATTATCTGGGTCTCTGGATTAACAGTCCAGCAACAATACCACTAGATCATCACCTCCCCCACTGCAATATTAGTGAACCTACAGGCTTTTCCTGACAATTGGCAGGGATTTCATGGTCATCATTAGAGTCTTAATTCCAGATTTTTTTTTTGAGTTCAAACTTTACCATCTGCCTTGCAGGATTTGACCCCAGATCTTTACCCAGGTTGCTGAATTAACAGTCTAGTGGCTTCAGCAGGGTCACTGGACCCGAATCGTTAACTCTGTTTCTCTCTCTCCGCAGATGCTCAGTTTTTCCAGCAGTTTCTGTGTTTGTTTCAGATTTCCATTGTTGCAGTACTTTGTTTATTTTTATTTCTTTAGCAGATCTCGGGAATGGCCAGCAGGGCTTGACACGAGGCCATTCCCTAAATGGGCTGGTGGTAAAATGCAGCAAAACTAAGTTCAGCCATGACGCTCTCACATTATCCTCGAGCAACGCCGGTGCTTGCTGTGACCAGTAAAATGTGGCTGAAATACCGGAGCCGGTGGGAATTTGCTGCTAAACTGGGTTTTATTTGGAGCAGCCCAAGTCTGCAGAGCAGGGGTCTGCTCCTGGGAAAGTAGCGCAGTGACAATAATGTGTTAGGGAGCTGCCCAGTGAGGCTTCCCCACCTCCATCTCTCTCTTTGAGCCAGGCTAATCCAACCCGAACTGTGTCCTGTTTCAGCACCTTCTCAAAGACTCAGCAGCAATCCATTGCTTATCTTGTAGGACATGGCAACATGACCTTTATCTTAGCACGGAGCGCCTTGATACAACAATAGCATACATTCTTTTTCAGTATAAACACTCACATGTAATAATGGACCTCAGAGCATTTGATAATAAAATGGAAGAGTCTTCAGAATTCTTTAAATTCCATTACTTTAGGCTTTAGGATTAGAGATAGAACTTGAAACAATAAAGCTTGCACAGTCTTTAAGAAACATTTAAGCTGGGAAACATCCGCATAAACATAAAAGACAGAATAATGTACACAAAACCAGAAATTAGTTTGAAAAGCCTCTCAACAAATGACATTGTAAGTTGAATGGGACAGAAAGTGCTCCACCATTGAAAAAGCCGCAAAAAGTTTACTCAAAACCCAGCCCAAGAGGAGTTTATTTTCCATTTATTTGTTCAGATAATTCTGAACCACACATTTATAAACACGGCGATCGGGATTTAGGGCTGAGATTTAACCGAATATCTGAGCGGATTTTCTACTTCAGGGAAATAAAAATCATCACTAAGGGAAATGACCTTCACTTTCACTTCACAATCTTCATCAAAAGGTCAGAGTCACAGAAGTGTTTACAGTGCAGAAGCAGGCCATTCTGCCCATCATATAAACACTAGCTCTCCAAACGAACTTTACAATTCAGTGGATCGTGAAACATTTTAGCTTTAAGTTCCTGCCCTGATGGTGAAGTATCTAATTACAGGGAGGTAGTGGCCTTGTGGTATTATTGCTAAGTTTTTTTTAATCCAGAGACCCAGCTTATACTCTGGGGATCTGGGTTCAAATCCTGCCATGGCAGATGGCGGAGTTGGAATTCAATAAAAATCTGGAATTAAATTAAAAGTTGAATGATGACTATTGTTGATTGATGGGTAAAAACCCATCTGGTTCACTAATGTCCCTTAGGGAAGGAACTGCCATCCTTACCTATCTGCCCTACATGTGACTCCAGACCCACGGCAATGTGGTGACTCTTAATTACCCTCTGGCAACTAGGGATGGCAATGGATGCTGAATTAGCTAGTCATGCCCCACATCCCGTGAATGAATAAACAGAAAATTGAATGAACAGCTGTGGGAGGCATGTACAATCACAATTGTCCAACTTTACCAAGAAAACATTTTGTTTTCAAAGCAAAATAATGCCAACAGCAGAGATCGAAAGTAAAATCAGAAAGCGTCAACAAAAAAAATGCTCAGCCATTCCTGCAGCATCCGTGGACTGAGAAACAGAGTTAACTTTTCAAACTCAATATGACTCTTCTTCAGAAGTATCATAACCAACCCGAAACATCACATTTGATCCTGTCCCTGCAGAAGCTGCCAGACCCGCTGGGTATTTCCAGTACTTTCCGTTTGTAATTTCACGTTTTATGTTACTTTGTGCTTCTCATGGGCTGTGAAGTATCAGTATTAATTGTTACAAAAAAAATGGTCACTTTAGTCTTACTCTCCTATCAGAGAGAGATAACTGGTGGTGGTTTAACCTGAGGGTCATCACAGCTCAGGAAAGCGGAGAAGTTAAGAAGGAAAAACTTTCACAATAACTCACCAGGTATGGGAATTGAACCTACACACTGCTGCCATCACTCTGCATCACAAACCAGCCATCCAAGCTAACCAACCCCCTACTTTAATTGTACAATGCCACTTACACTTCCTAAGATTTGAATGGACCTCCTTGACATTTTTCATGGAATAGGATTCAATACTCTTCGCCACAGCCTGCAATAGATCCTTCACAAGGTGAAGGTAATCCAAAGGAGGTTTAGTGGTTTAACAGCATCCGATGTCCTTGATTCATCCACATGTTTATGCATCTTCTGCAGGTCTCTCTCTTTCAGCTGCTGAACAACCTCATCTGTAAAGCCCTCATAGCTCAGATAGAGTGCAACCATTTGTCTTGGCTAGCTAACCCTAACCCTAACCCTAACCATCACCCTAACCTAACCCTAACCCTCACCCTAACACTAATACTAACTCTAACACTAACACTAATCCTAATCCTAACCCTAACCCTCACCCTAACACTAACACTAATCCTAACCCTAACACTAACACTAACACTAACATTAACACGAACCCTAACACTAATCCTAATCCTAACCCTAACCCTCACCCTAACACTAATACTAACCCTAACACTAACACTAATCCTAATCCTAACCCTAACCCTAACACTAACCCTAACACTAACACTAACCCTAACCCTCACCCTAACACTAACACTAACACTAACACTAATCCTAACCCTAACACTAACCCTAACCTTCACCCTAACACTAACACTAACCCTAACCCTAACCCTAATCCTCACACTAACACTAACTCTAACCCTAACCCAGCTCTTTCTGCTGCTGGCTCCTTCCGACTTTGTTGTTCAAGTGGACCATTCCACAATCAGGAGAGACATTGCTGTTAACATGGAGTTACTTACAGAGGGCAGCCATGGCTCAGTGGGACTACCCTCACTCTGCCTGAAGCTTAGTAGGCACAACTCATAAAGTCATACAGCAGAGAAACAGACCCTTCGATCCAACCAGTCCATACTCACCATAATCCCAAAACTAAACTAGTCCCATCTGCCAGCACTTGGCCTGTATCCCTCCAAACTTTTCTTATTCATGGACTTACCTAAATATCTTTTAAATGTTCTAACTGTACCTGCATCCATCACATCCTCTGGAAGTCCATTCCACACGTGAACCACTCTCCGTGTAAAAAAAAGTCTTTTTTAAATCTTTTGCCTCTCATCTTAAAAATATGCCCCTTAGTCTTGAAATCCCCCATGCTAGGGAAAAGACACCTACCATTAACCCTATGTATACCTCTCATGATGTTATAAACCTCCATTAGGTCACCCCTTAACCTCCTACACTCCAGTGGAAAAAGTACCAGCTAATCCAGATTCTTCTTATAACTCAAACCCTCCATTCCCAGAAACATCCTAGTAAATCCTGTCCAGCTTAATAATACCCTTCCTATAAGTTCCAGTGAGCTAATGGATGCCCAAGGTCCTCAGACGGACTCTCACCTGTTTTACAGGGTGAGAAATGAGTGGCTAGCCGCTGAAATTCCTCATACCTTTTTCTGTTGAGTATTGTTCACACTTTAGAAGCTGTAACAAATTGATATAGACCTTGAATATTATCAATACATGTTAGCAAAAATTCTTTCATAGCCAAATTTAAATGCTATTTTTTGTTAAGTCTGTGTAGTATTTAATGGGGTCACTTCACACCGACCAGCAATTGAGAACTGACTTAACCTGCTCTTGAAGTGACGACAGAGCAGGTTAAACAGTCTTTAACTCAT